GACATTTTGATCTTGTTGGATGACATTTCGGACTACCATATCGGTGACCTATCGGATTCTATCTCGGTGACCTATCGGTGCTATCTACCTCCCCCACCTCCTTCGTCTCTCCTCCCACCTTTCATCTGTGTATGTGTGTACGGGATCTGGGCATCGTCCATGCTTGGCCTAGACCCCACTATCTCACGATTGTGTATGTGGAGTGATCTATGTGAGTCAGTCTATGTGAGTCTGTCCGTTTATCAGACTTCCGCTGCATATATGCTCATCCTACATTGGTTGATCTTTGGTTCTGCCCATACTCATTGAAGTATGTAACACTATGTGAGTCAGTCCGTTTATCAGACTTCGGCTGCATATATGCTCATCCTATATTGGTTGATCTTTGGTTCTGCCCATACTCGTTGAAGTATGTAACATAGGATCTGCCATTTGTAGTCAGGGCGCAGAGCGCCAAATAGGAAATCGACATTGGTTCTTTCTTGATGATGATGAGACTATTCCAACATTGTCACTTGTGAGCTTTTGCTGTGCTCTTATTTGGTGGAACGCGAGTTGCAATTCTGCTTTTGGTTTGAGGTCACAACTATCTGGTTTCGTGTGTATGATGCTGCTTGGTTTCTGGAATTCACTATCGCTCATTTTCCTTGCACAGCAGAGTTCAGCTCGCGCTCCAAGAAAGGAGGCCGGTGAGCGGCAATGTATATATATATATTGTCACATGACTATGAACTGAAAGAGCGCACTCTGCGAAACAAACGGCAGAAACAAAAAAAAAAAAAAAAAACAAGACAAACATGAACGGAAACCATTCATTTTTCTCGTTCTTCTTTTGACTCCCCCTTCACCGTGCCTCTCACGTACAAGGCTCGCCACGTTGATGAAGTTGGGTGTGAGCTGCCCCCATCCCCGTTTACAATAACGGCCCACGTGTACACTGTGAGAGAGAGGCAGACCGAAGGGAGAGGGGATAAACAAAGGGAGGAGAGATGGAGAGCAGACAAACAAAGAACGATAAAGGGAAAGTAAGGGAAAGTACAGAGTGTGGAGGCTCAAGAATGAGTCTGTCCTTGACGACAGAGAGGACATACATTGTAAGGATGAGGTGGATGAACACATGGAAGACCTAGCTGAGCATTCTCAGTGCAACAATCGCCACGACGGCTGGCATTGAGCATGCCCACCATACACCCTCGACAAATGGCATATCGATTGCAGGCCAAAATGAAGGAAGAATGGTCACCACAAAAGACCATGCGTTCAGTATAATGCCCATGGCCGCAAAATGGACATATTGTCACATATTGTCACAAAACTATTGACTAAGATCGTTAGCACGTGAAGTAGAAGAAGAAATAAGATGAGCGAAAAAAAGAAAAATGAAAGGACAGACAGGCAAAGAGATAGACAAACCAGAATGACACAAAATAGTGTCCTCTTATTCTTTGTTTCACTGTATTCTTATTTCTTTCATTGTTTTACAAAAAAAAATTACATTGAACAAGGGATAAAAATAAAAAACAAAGACACATTGAAATCATTCAGTTTCTCAGCCTTCTTAACGCCTCCTCCACCGTGCCTCTAACGTACAAGGCTCGCCACTTTGATGAAGTTGAGCGCGAGCTGCCCCCATCCCCGTATGCCATAACAACCCACTGGCACGATATGGGAAAGAGGCAGAGTGAAGGAAGAGGTGTTAAACACAAGGAAGAGCGGAGCAGAAAAGGAAAATTGATAGGTAGAGGGAGAAAAATAATATATATATCGTCACAAACAGAACTGCCCGGTAAAACCGTAGGCAAAGAGAGAGAAGAGGACAACAAACGAGGGGCTGTGACAAACTGTTTCGTCGGAGTTTCACTGACTCATCATATATATATATCGTCACAAACAGAACTGCCCAGTAAACCGTAGGCAGAGAGAGAGAAGAGGACAACAAACGAG